GCATTTCCAGTAAAGCGAAGAGAAAATTCGCCATAATTAGAAACAGGCTTAAAATAACTTTCAAATATACTTCAGGCAGTTTATGATTAAAAAAAATCATAAACAATAATAAACATATAAGTCCATAAAAACGAAATATAAGGTAATTGAAATATAGTTATCTGTTTAAAAAGTGGCGGAGCATGGGATTGGAAATGTACGAAGCCCTGTAAGGGACACACATCTTTTCTATTTTCGTGCCGCTTTTAGTGAGACTTTTAGTGTGACTTTTAGTGCCACTTTTATTGCACTTTTAGTGCGATTTTTAGTGCGACTTTTAGTGCGACTTTTAGTGCTACTTTTAGTGCCACTTGAAGTGCCACTTTTAGTGCGACTTTTAGTACGTGAGAAAATGCAAGGGGTGACAAGCCGCACATCTATACCGGCGTGACGCCTTGTGTTAACCTTTTTATATTTTAGCTCTAACGAGCATGTCCTTTAGGGATTTTCCTTTCTTGTAGAAAATGATAGGTGGTTCTTTAAAAATTTGGCGAAGTAACGGTTGGCTTTGTATAAGATTCCTTTTTGTCATTAAAACTGCTTTAAAGTAGACACTGAGGGGTGGTACTATGTCATGAAAGGCAATATTACTTTTTCCTCTTTGTTGTTGTGTTTCAGGAGTGCAGACTCCCTCTCTGTGAATTTTATATCTGATAGAAGGTTTTCTTTCATAGTTTGTGGGCAGCCTCTGTCAATCAAGCGTTCTTTGAAATTTGAAGTATTTTCCTCAAACGTAGTTTTTGAGGAGTTTGTTCGTAGGATTCTCAAGGCTTCTCCCTATTTGACAAATCCTTTTTTTAACACTCGGCGGGTGACAAGAGGTAAAATATGTGTGTACTGGAAGGTTTCCCTTGTTTTAAAATGTGTCTTTACATCAAGGATAGATTTTCCTTGAATCTTGTGCCTTTGTACACAATCGTGTCTAAAAACACAGTCTCAGTGTCAGATATTTCGGCCGTGAATTTGATAGTTGGGTGATGTAATTAAGTTTGCTTGTTCGATGAAGGCTTCGATGTTTGGTTTACTTTTGTCCCATAGGGAAAAGATATCGTCAATGTAGCGTTTCCAAACAGTAGGTTTAAAAACGGTTCTGCTTAGAATTGTTGTTTCAATATGTGCCATGAAAATGTTGGCAAAAGAAACTGCTGTCTTTGTACCCATTGCAGTACCATGGGTTTGTAGGTAGGGTTTTCCATTGAACTGGAAAGAATTTTCTTTGAGGATTAGTCTAAGCATTTCCCGAAGATAATGTGTAGGAATAGGAGGGTTGTTTTTGTCGAAGTTTTCATATGCTTTACAGACAATTTCAATGCCCTCGTTCTGTGGTATATTTGTGTAAAGACTTGCGACGTCCATCAAAGCAAGAAATGTCCGTTTTTTCACCTGTGTGTTTTCAATAGAATTTATGAAGTCGGTGGTATCTTTAAGGAATGATTTCTGTATTTTTGATATTGGTTGCTGTAATGTATCAACAAAAGAGGAAATTCTTTCTGTTGGACCATCGCAGCCGAAGATAATTGGTCTCCCTGTAATGGTTGGCTTGTGAATCTTAGTTAGAATGTAGAACTCTGGTATTCAAAGTGGATTAGGTGTTTGAGATAGACGTTGGCGTATAAGACATGCACAATTGGTGCGCCTGCGATTTTCACTATGCTGATAATGAAAATCGCACTAAAAGTCGTACGAAAGGTATCACTAAAAGTCCCTTACAGGGCTCCGTAGAAATGAGAATTGTTTATCAGTCTCATAAGAAATAGGAATTTGCAGGTTGTGACGGTCAACTTTGAAAGCCTTCACTGTATTTTTTCACTTACATTTTAAATTCCCCTAGCATGAGGTTTTACTGTGCCTTAAAAATATGTGCGAAGACTGTGTAGACCGAAATCTTGAACAAAACCAGTTTTTCTTTGTATAGCATCGAAAGATGGCGCGTTTCCCCTGTTGCAACATAACTGAACCCTTTAGTTGCTTTGTCGTGCTTTTCAGTAACTACATGCTTTTTCGTCCGCAAACTGTTCCATCCCATCTTTACAGGAGTTTTACTTACCTCATATTTTTATCAGGTTTTTAGTTCTTTATTTCGAGGCTAAATTTATACAGTTTCACTGATGTGAAACAGAGCAGAAGTTTGAATCAGAATACTACATATCGTTGACGAAATTCTTTTCATCTCGGTATTTTTTTTTTTATTTTTTTTTTGTTATTAAATTTGTTTTCTTTTAATTCAATAATTGCCTGATATATCCAGGGCCCGCGGAGCAGTTTTCAAAGTGCGGGGGCCGATCCACCTCTTTTGAAGTGAAGTTGGGGAGGGGGGGGGGGGAAGGGGGGGAGGTTGTGGGGTTGTGGACTTTAAAAATGGTTTACCTGGCGCCGACTCAATATTTTTTAATACAGTTGCAACTCATCAATCATTATTTTTAATAGTTTAACAAACGAGAAAGGAGTTAGTAACAAAAAGGTGTAACCGTGCACAGCAGCATCATAAATTTTCGCGTGTTTCATTTACTTCAAAAGCTTGTCCGTTTTCTCCTTGCGGCTGTTTAGAACCTTTCTTTATTCATTGTCACGGAATGGACCCATGTTTCAGACGGCTTCGAACTGCCGAAATTGACCTTTTCCTGCTGCGATGCATGGTTGCGGATTTACCAGTACAAGCTTGCAGATCGGGACAATTTCATTTATCATGCTCTGTAATATCTTGATATTAAAGTATGAAAACATGGAACGGTTATCTAGAAATTTTTAGCTCTTCTCAAGCTTTAGAGATTTCTAGGCAATATTTGCTCCTTCGAACAGTTATTTTACAGAATATAGTCGCTGGGTGCTCCTGAGTTTTGTAAAGATAGTCGTTTTCAGTGAGGATCACCATATGATGTAGGATCGAAACGGACTAATCATCAATTTGGATGCTTCGGCGAGGTTTGCCAGCCGAATATTCTTATTCCATCAAAGATTCCTTTTATTTTAAAATGTGTATTTCTTTTCTTTTCTTTTTTTTCAAAAAGTTGTGGTGGGGGAAGGAGGGGGGGCAGGGGCCTCCCCCTGCGTGGGCCCTGATATCATACTGTGTTTCAGATAACACATCAGTTGTTAGACTGCAAAACAGTCCGTATTTTTGCGTATTCAAGTACGCGCGAGCAGTCAAACAAAAGGTCTGGAACGAGGCTGAAAACAGAGAGCGAGACTGGGGAGAGACGCTAAAAATACGTTTTTTTTTCTCTTGCCTCACACGTGAGGCTCATGCGCTTCGCGCGCGCAAGACTCTTGCGCCACGCTTTACCGATTTCTTTACTGTTTTTGAGAAAAAAACCGACTGTTTTGCAGTCTAATCAGTTGTCTACTTTTTTTAAAGTTCTTTTTCTTTTTTCTTTTTTGACCGTTGCATATACGAGTCAGTAAATATATTTTCTTTGTTGCTATCTAGGCTGCAAGGTTATCCCAGTATAGAGCACCTTTATCTGGTTGATTCATCGCTTGCAAGAGTTGGTTCATAGAAGCACTCAGTATCTATTTACGACTTTGTCCTCATAAATTTTGTTTTCTTCTAATTCGACCCAGTAACTGTCTGATATATTACACAATGTTTCAAGCGCATCAGTTGTCTAGTTTTTGTTTATTTCATGAAGCGTGGATGTATACGACTGAGGAAGAGCCAGCAAATAAACTTCACCTTTGTTGGTTTTTAAATACGGCCGCAAGGTTATCCCTTGTAGACCACCCTTTATTTCTGTTATTTGGCCGGTTCATCGCTCAAGAGTTGGTACATAAAGGCACTCTTATTTACGACTCTGTCCATTCAGAATTTCACCTAAGATTTTTGTGTAATATTATTACTATTTTATTGCATTTTTCTCGGTTCTCAGAGACTGTCCAGTTCGTTATTGTATTGCGTTCGGAAAGTGCTGATTTTGGCCATTTTTGACAGAGAAAAGCCACTTGTTTTCCCATCACCGACAATAATTCTACGCTCCCTCTGTAAAATAAACGAAAACCACCGGGTATTGCATGGAATTTTTGTTTTGAAAACAGAACAAAAATCATTGAAATTTTGTGGCAACAACATGCAAGTTAGCAGACTCTACTGATGTATCAACTAATCTGCATAACGAGATACTCGGGTTCAGTCTGACCTCATACAGTCAGCTACACTGCATGCCTGGTGGATCAGTAGGGTTAGTACTTATAGTTAGCCTAGATGACCAATTTTGATTTTTCTGTTTTCACGGTTTCTGCATCTATGGGACGATCACCCATTTTATGTAATAAGTGAATTAAAGGGGGTTATTGACCGGAAATAGCTCTGAAAATTGTACTATCATTAAACATATTTGTGTCTGCAGCTGCTTGGATCTTTCTCTAATAATACATCAATATCGGGGAGATAAAAAAACTGTCTTATATTTCGTTTTTTTAGTTGTTCTTGAATCGCGGTTTCAACTTTTTCTTGAAAAGCTTGAATGCAGGGCTTTTGACATTGACTTTTGTGCAATTCAATAAACTCAAGAACATGGTCCGCGATCGGATAAATTTCCTGAGGGTACTTCTTTATCTAAATTTTCCTCGGGTTATTATTCTATATAACTTGCTGATAGGACCATTTTACAGTTATCCCTATTATATTATAGCTAAGCCCGTTAGGTGTGTATATAATCTGTATAGCTATATACCCCTTTCGGTCTGAAAACAGGGGAGAGAATTTATCCCCAGTTTTAACCTGAAATAGACCAGAGTAAGGAAAGTCAAATTTGTTCTTTTGGGATTTAGGAATTATATTACGGCGCACAGCCCCAACGCAATTTTCCAGGGCCTCCTCTTCTCACCCCGACTTGTGGTTATGCATCGGTTCTCCTTCACCAACCAAATTCATTGACATTTTTAAATGCCCATTAATATTATTTAACATTTTTATATGTCAATGAATATTATTCAATATTATTTTATTTTTACAAGCTTGAACGATGGCTGACATGACAACATTGATAGTTATCAGTTCCTTTATCATGTTCCCAGCTGTGATGATGGCACAGGAAGTTGTAAACCATGGAGGTAATGACTAATGACATCAGGACCAAAATTTTATTGCGCACCTGTTTGTAGGCATTACGTTTAAGCACCCTGTTGTTGTTTAATATACAGAAAGCTGTCAAAAAATCATTCTGAAGTAAAAGAAAAAAAAAATGAAATAGTGATTTTTACACAAAAAATGTGCGATCAAGACTTCAAAACCAGCCAAACGCCTTCGTTCAAGACTGATCCTCTGTTTTACTTTCTTAAGAGATTTTAAATGAATTTGTATCTTAGAAAATCGTGCTATTATTATTATTATTATTATTATCAACATCATCTTCATTTTGTTATTGTTATAAAATTATAATTATTCCTGTTCCTATCCTACCGTGGCGAAGGTTTATAATAGGGAGCTTATAAAGCAACAACGACGGCGACGATTACAAAAACGTCAATATTGATATCTGTATTGTACTCTGGTTATTGACCTGATTGGTTAATTAAGTCTCGATGTGATTGGTCTTGTGTCAGTTAAGCCGTGTTGTTATTGGCTATGAAGACTCGAGTTGTTTCGATCGGTCTTTTGTCACAGTTTAACAGCGACGATCCAGCGACAAGAAATGGAGATGTCAACAATCACACTTCTTATTGCTGAACATACACCATTTCCAGACGAAACATTAAATCGACCGGGCCTCTGCAACAAGTATTACGCATTCTACAGACTACCATAACTAGCAGCGGTGGCGAATGGTTCCGGGGGGTACTCCCATACATTACCTATACGGGTATGTGCCGCCCAACGGGGTCGTGATTTTGAAGCTCCTGATTTAGAACGGGGTATCCATTTCAGAGGCGTTTTCTAGAAGGAGGTATAAAAACTTGTGGATCACGGCTTTATCTTCTGCTTAAAATTGTTGCTGATTATAATGAAGCATTTATATGATGTATAAGTCGAAAAAATAAAGAAATATCTTTTTTAAAAAAACAGGGCTATTTCAATTTATAAACTCTCTAGAACGGAGTATAAAAAATTGGCCCATTTCTAGAATGGGGTATCAGTTTTAGGGGAAATTATTTTTTAGAACGGGGTGCCAATTTGGATTCCCGGGCGGCACATACCCACCCAAAAAATACCCAAGTGCCCCCCCCCGGGCGAATGGTACCTCGAAAAACGTGGGTCTCGGAAAATTTTAACAGGATCCCGAAATCTCGGAAGCCTTTTTGATAAGTCTCGAAGTCTCGTTTTTGTATGGTTTGTTTTCACTTTTTTTGAGTCTCGAAACTTTTTACCAAAGAGTCTCGGGCTCGGATTTCTAACTAGGGTCTCGGCGTCTCGGCGAGTCTCGGATTTTACCATTCGCCACCCCTACTAGTACTCATCTTAGAAAGCTGGCTTACTAAATTAGACCATGCCCAAAAGCCACTGGAATGGCAGTCAACGGGCACGGTACAAACGACTTATGGCGGACTCAAGCAAAACTGACAAAAACAGAAGTGACTTTATAAGCAAGAGACAATTTGACTAACAATAAACGACTGCAGGAGCCCATCAAACGGAGCCTCCATCTCCCATACAAGCCCTTGGAGTCAACCCTTTCCCGAGTAGATTTATAATTAGAACGGTTCCCAGGGGAGACTCGCGCGCCGACGGTGGGAAGAGCCAATCACAACGACGAAATGACACTGCTATTGTACTTCATCAAACAACAGGAAATTCGGTGTTGACAGGCCAAACACAATCATAAGCTAGTGAAACCTGACTTTAGCGTTTTCATCCCTCAGAGATTTTCTTTCTTTTCCTTTTAGCCGGTAGATTATACTGTGGAGAGTTTTAAACTCTGACTATGTTAATCTTAGTTTTGACTGCTTGTCTCACATTAAGAGACCATAAAGCTGGTCTGTTAGATGCATAATGATTGACTACTACCTGCAGTCTGTAGTTCTGACAGGATTCGTTTTCTTTAGCCAATTTTTTAAGCGTTACGTTAAGGTTATTATTTCGGCTAAATGACTCAATATTAATCAAATTTCTAGTTTTTCAAGGTTTTTTTTCCCGAAATCTGTTTATCTGAAAAAATACTGGTAGTCCTTGTGGTTGTTTTGTCTGTCAGCTAGTGGGATGATTCCCTGCTATGTTTTGTAACGCCGGGCCCAGCCATTGTTTTCTCACAAAAAAGTGATCTACAGATGCGAATTCGAAGGAAAGAATTGAGCCTGAACGTCTACATTAACTGCTGAGAATTGTCCTGTCAGTCAATCATAATTATTTTGTCGCAGATACAATCCGTTTTGTTTTTCTTGAGCCAAGTGGGTCTTTGGACTACAGCGCAATGTCACAAATTCCTCCGTTAGCAAATTACTTTTGAGTTAGCTTCACGGTCGAGCAACTGTTCTCTTCTGTTCAACGTTTCAAGTGCCAGTTTTATAAGGCAACTCTCATGGTGATGCGAGTCAGTTGTAGAGGAAGACTGCAATTTCTGAAATTTCGGAAATAAAGCAATCCTCGTTAGTTACTACTTAGGTCATCGCTTTTGCACGCGTTGCTTAACTGGCGAAATCCACTCCACGGTGATGACAAAAATCAAATCATGATCCTGGCACTTTTTCGGCGCTGATCGTCGAAAAGTTCCAAATCGTCCACAGAATGCTTAATCGTCGACTCTTTTCGAAGTGCATGCGTACATGTTAAATGTATAACGACAAATAAAAACACTCGCAAAGATAACCTTTCAGTGATCCTCAGTTCGCTGCCTTTGTCTCATCGCTTCTTGCTCAGTCTCAGTCGGGTAATTCATTAACTTTTATTTCATGATACCCAGATCCCAGCGGCTGTAAAATCATAAAAATGGACGTATAGTAAAAAGGAAAACGGTCGAAGGATGGGCTTTCGAGTTCGACTTCATCCAACTTCATTTTTCTGACGGTGACATACGAGACTCACGGAAATATGACACTTTTCGCGGGAAACAAGCCGTTCTATTTATAAATCTACTCGGGAAAGGGTTGACTCAAGAAATTAATGGAGATGGAGGCTCCATTTGATGGGCTCCTGACGACTGTAACAACAAACGACTTTGACTATGAAGATGACTACCCGACACAGTCCTACCTACTTATGCATTTATATTTACTGTTCATTTATTGTTTTGCTGTTTCGCAGTTTGTCCCGTTCCGATGAATAAAGAAGAAGAGGAGATAATTAAAGAGCAGGAAAGAAACAGAGAAGAAATGGAAGAGATCATGAGAGAGATTGAAATCAGTTGTTTAGGTGAGTGATAAAAAACCATGGGATGAATAATTAAGTACAAGTAAAAATAACTTAAGGAAGGTTGGGGTCGTTTTTGTTATACAAAGAACAATGTAAATTATGCATTTCTGAACCCGTTCTCTTCATTGGAAGCGTTGTCGCTCATGGGACGAAAAAATCCCGCGCGGATACCCTGCGGGGTGGGGGACGTACTCCGGATTTCAAGGAACAGATCCTTAGAGCTTTTGTTCCAACGCCTACTCTCCATTGTATATACAACGCTCCTCATTCAATCTCAATTCGATTATAGTGAGGATATTTATCCTCTAAATTGTTAAACGATGTGAAACGCGCTACTCCCTAAGGGACTCTGTTAACAAACTGAGTGGGAACTAACTTCATGAAGAACAGCTTCAGTTATAGCGGAGAAGTGATATGAAAGGGCCAAATTTTCAACAATACCAATTAACTGCAGTGTAAGCACACGTACCATCACTGCGTTATGGCCAGTACCTTACGTATGCGCACAACCATATCACCCGAGCAGTGGCAGCCATGGACAGCTGGTTAGCCCTTACTGGAGCTCATCAGCTTGGCATAGCCGTTGGATCAATTAGCGGGGGGTACTGCCTAGGCGAGTGCAAGCACTGCTTTAATCGTAAGCTCCACCGTAAACACGTGGTAGTTGTTGGTGGGGAACTGCAAAACAGTTCTCCCACGGCATGCGTATGGAGATGGTATCAGAAAAATTGACCTGTGTGCCCAAATAAATTTGAAACCAAGTAACTGCACCGAAGCACACGTGCCAACTCCGCGGTGTGGCCAGTACTTTACGCATGCGCACAACCATGAGCCCTAATAAGGGCGAAACAGCTGTCCATGGCTGCCACTGCTGGGGTGATATGGTTGTGCGCATGCCTAAGGTACTGGCCGTACTTCGGAGTTGGTACGTGTGCTTCGGTGCAGTTAATTGGTATTGTTTCTAAATCTTTCAGTCAATTTAAACGATTGGCTCATCTGAATTTCTGACTTTTAAGTACTGTGTACACGGCATTCATGAAAAGCAGGTCTTAGTTAGATTAGTTATGGTTTTGCATGTTGTTTAGGGTACTTAGGTTTATTTAAGATTTTTTATACTCCTGATGAATTTTACCGGGTTTAAATAAAGAATTATTCTTTACTCTTCCTATCAGTTGAAATCAGGAGTACCCACCCCCCCCTGGCGAGGATGCAAAACCGAAAGTCACTGGACAGTGTACAGGGGAACTCAACAGGAAATTTTAAAACAACAACAAAGCATAAATAAAGCTTTCTGAAGCCATTTTAAGCATTTTGAGAGATTGCTACTAAAAATTAATCTGTTCCTCACTCCCTGGAAGACTGATGGAAGAGTTCCCAGCCGGCAGGGTGCACCTATAACCTACAACCTGACTTACTGGAAGTTTCCCAGGAGGCGTATGTCCAGACATTACTGGCCAGTTGTGGTGTGGTCATAGGGCAAAGTTCACCCCTCAGTAGTGGGGGTGGGGGGGAGGGGTTTGGGGGAGGGGTTTCTGATGCATAACACATAGTAACTATTCTAAACATCAAATCCCCTCAGACACATTTTTTTCTTAGCATCACTTTCCTTCCAGGGACATATTATTTCTTCCACATCTCCCAGCCAGCAAAAATTGGCCTGAAGAACAGATATTTTGAGGAACAGATCCTTTGGGTGCCCCTGAGTGTAGCCTAGCAGCACTATACGATGCGTCCTTAGGAGTGCAAAGTTTCTTGATTGAAGTTTTGAGACTAACGTTCCAAGTCCTTTAACAAACTTCTTTAGCAAATCACGCCGTGGTTGGTGACATTGAACGAAGGGTATTCATAGATTATAATAATTTGAACTGAATTGAACTGTTGCAAATAAATAATTTAAACAACTCTTGATCGGCTGAAAGGTGAAGGTGGATTACTTTACGTCAAGTAAATTCTTATACCTAACTTCCATTCGTTGATTTGTAGATGAGTGTAAAACAGGACAGCATAACTGCCACGATGATGCGTACTGCACCAACACCAAGCGTTCCTTCACTTGTACTTGTAAGCCAGGATATACTGGGGATGGTGTTAACTGTGCAGGTAGTAAACCATACGAAGCTTAAACTAACAGGATTTCATCTTTAGTTTTATGCTATTCCATACCATAAAGATTAGAGCCAATCAGAAAGCTAGAAACCGGTTTCATATTTAGTCAATGGTATGTTACAGATCGGTAGTTTCTACCTGTTGTGGACGGGTTCAATCACAAAATGACGTAATACAAAAGATTAAAAAGACAGTGTACAATATCTACACCACATACAATAGCTAACCAACAATAGTTCCCCCATCACCAAGAAACACCCCACAGGTCGTATCCATGAAAAATGTCTGGTGTTAATTGCAGCCTTCAGATTCCCCGTAGCCTGCGAACAGGCTCACATATGCGATTTCGAGGGAAATTTGGGCGTGCACATTTCCAAGCCCTTTTATTCTCGCCGGCTTTGTCTGCTCGAACCGCCAAAATTTTCCTTTTCGCGGGCTAAATTCCCCCAGCGAAAGCTTTCCAAGTGTGCAACATCTAAATTGGTTTATCATTTGTATTTTTTAGTTATTTGGCATTCAATCTAACTTCCTTTTTTGTTTTGTCCACTACAAAAGTTCATCATTCTATAAAAATATGATATATATCTATCCTCATTGGATAGAATCGACACAAAAATCGAACCTGATTGATAATTCAGCATTAACTATTGATTTGCAGACATAAAGGAGTGTGAGACTGGAAACAACCAATGTGACCCCGATACTTCAGTCTGCGATAACACTAAAGGATCATACAAGTGTGTTTGCAAGTCGGGTTTTTCCAAAAGTGGACATGAACATAAATGTACAGGTAAATATACCACCGAGCACTTCAAGATATGCTAATTAAAATGGATACTTTAAAAATGTCTTCTTCTTTTGTCGAATTTAAGTGGGGTGAATCAGGTTGAAATTATAAAAGCGTCGTCAAAATAGGAACATATACGGCATATCATGACGCTTAACAGATCTACAGTTTGATAATTCAGCATTAATTCTTAATTTTCAGATATAAACGAGTGTGAGACAGGAAAACACAACTGTAACGCCACCAGTTCATTGTGCCAAAACACTAAAGGATCATTTAAGTGTGTTTGCAGGGAAGGGTATTCCAGAAGTGGACCTGAACAGAATTGTACAGGTAAATATACTACCGAGCACTTCAAGATATGTTAATTGAAATGGGTACTTAAATATATCTTCTTATTTTCAATTTTCCTTTTCGCGGGCTAAATTCCCCCAGCGAAAGCTTTCCAGGTGTGCAACATGTAAATTGGTTTACCATTTGTATTTTTTAGTTATTTGTCATTCAATCTAACTTCCTTTTTTGTTTTGTCCACTACAAAAATTTATCATTCTTTTGACTATAAAAATATGATATATATCTATCCTCATTGGATAGAATCGACACAAAAATCGAACCCGATTGATAATTCAGCATTAACTATTGATTTGCAGACATAAACGAGTGTGAAACTGGAAACAACCAATGTGACCCCGATACTTCACTGTGCGTTAACTCTAAAGGATCTTACAAGTGTGTCTGCCTGTCGGGTTTTTCCAAAAGTGGACATGAACATAAATGTACAGGTAAATATACCACCGAGCACTTCAAGATATCAATTGATCTGCAGTTTGATAATCCAGCGTTAATTCTTAATTTTCAGACATAAACGAGTGCGAGACAGGAAAACACAACTGTAACGCCACCAGTTCATTGTGCCAAAACACTAAAGGATCATTTAGGTGCGATTGCAGGGAAGGGTATTCCGAAAGTGCACCTGAACATAATTGTACAGGTAAATATACTACCGAGCACTTCAAGATATGTTAATTGAAATGGGTACTTAAATATATCTTCTCCTTTTCAGGCACGGATTTACGTGAAACAGGTTTAACAGAAATTGTGTAATTCATCAAAAACTCTCGTTTTTTTTCTTAGTTTGTCCATTTTTTCCTTTTGCTTTGCTTTGAAAATAGAGATTGAATTAAAGAGATCGGAACTAACTACTTGAAGAGGGCAAAAGAGTGACGCACTCGCTCGAGGGTCATGCGCACTGTCCTTCATGAACTGGAATGAACGACAGAATGACGCATTGTCGATGTTTTTTTTACAGAGTCGTCAACTTGCAAGGACATTTATGATACGACTTTGTGAGTACAGCATAAGTGATTACTATGGTGTTAGCAACATATTGTACTACTTTTTTCGTCTCGATATAACACACAACTTTTCTCATATCATAGTAAGAACCAGTTTCTTCAGGTTCGGACTTTAGACAAGGGCTTTCTTTGCGTACGATGTAACCCCCAATTAACTGTTTTTAAAAGCTTCTTCATGTGGAGCACTATGTCAGTTAGTGTTATCTGGAAAAGGTGACTCCAATGGTTTTTACTAGCAGCAAAACCTCCCAAGTTTGAGCTTTAATTACATTTTGCAGGCAAAGATCTCGGAAAAATGAAATCATGGCTTTGATAGACATAGAGGAAATCTTGCTAGGACCAGTGTCAATACCAAATTTGAAAAGAAATTTATCGAACAGTTTCGCAGTTGTTATCGCGTTTACAGATGTATGACACCACAAACAAAAGAGCACAACACAAACAAATAAAACAAATAAATTAGAAAGACGGAAGTAAACAGGAAACGCAAAGAGCCTGAGTTCTCGCAAGCCGCCATGTTTAGTATTTATGATACAGATGCAATGTACAGCACAGAAGTAAGGCGATTAATTGAACATTATTTTCACCATGGATTTCAAAACCGCGTTGTTGTTGATTGCGTTAATATTCGACAAGCAGTCACAATGAATCCTTCAACTTTGAAACGACGGCTTCGTGACTACGGTCTTAGCAGACGTAGCGTGGACGTTAGCGATCAGTTACAGAACAGTGTGGCACTCACTAGCTAAGATTGAATCATCACATCCATGTGCCAAGCGAAAGGGTTGCCAATATTCTTCGTGAGCTAAATCCAGCTGGAACAAGAGAGAGCAGTCTGACACAGAAGGGCACGTACAAAATCCTTTGGTTGGAAGTTGAAAGGTCAAATAACAGGCCTGAGGTCCCTTCAATGTGTAAAAGAAAATGCTGGTTGTCCACGCCTTGGGAGAATTGATCGTGGCACCGAAAATGGAACTTTCGCAGCGTGTACATTTACTTCAGACGAGAAGGCGAAGGTCTCGCTCATCTCTGCACATTTCTTCTACCACCGGCAGGGAGAAGTGAGAAAAAAATTCACTGGTGCTCATTTCTTAATTCTCAGAACTTGTCTTTTGCATTTATGATTATATTGTAATGATAAATGTGAAGCAGATCGCACGCTTGAAAGTATATTTAGAAAAATAAAATAACTCAGGAGGAAGAAAAAGGGCGATATACTATGACTTTACTATGCCCCGTTTTAACACGGTGAAATAAGGGAAACTCTCTCTGAAATAACTGGGACCTTTCGTGTGGTCTAGGCTAACAAAAGAGGAAAGTGACAAGAACAGCTTGGGTGTTTTTAAACGTTGTATAAAGAAAAGATTTAGCAAATTTAATTTCAGGTGGCGGATGTAAAAACTGTCTTTTTTGCAATAGTTGAATTAATCACTTGTGCTGCTTTAGTTTAATTATTATTAATATTAATTGTTATATGTTACTACAACCAGTATCTTTGTAAGTACCTTTGTATCACCTTTAAATCTTATTGTACAAACTTATTTTACTATAAGCAACGCCTTCCAAACTAAAATGTGGCCTCCCAATTTGGGAAAATTCAGAAGAGTATTGGTATTTGATGCTGAAAACGTTTGTGTTTCTGAAAGGTTTTCGCTAATTAAAAGGAGAAAAAAAAGTGTTCAGTTGTGTCCACAAGAAGCAACACATCCAGTTTTCCAATTCCACCAAATTGTGCAATTTTATGTGAAAGAGAGCGTACACCCATTGCGCTTTCTTTCTTGGAGAGATTCAGAATTTCTGATCCCCCGGCCCATAGCTTAACAGAACAAAACAGTAATCTATTTTTAATTCCAAAAGGAGTCAGAATTTTTGATCCCCCAAGCAACTTAAAAGAGAAACAGCGTTAAATCACATCATACATCAAGCTCTTGAAGCTAACATCTGCGAGATAGAAGAAAATAAATAATAAACAATAGTAGTAATAATCCTAAAAGAAAAGAAATAGAAAATAGAAGAAAACAAAAAATAATAGGAAATACAGAACTATAACAAAAATAATTTAACTGGTTTATTACTTGCATTATTATATTTGTTCAAACGAAATTTGCCGCACTTTGAATTTGTAGCGATTTATTCTGTACAAGGTGCCAAGATACATGTATCTATCTGGGAAATGAAAGGAGGTACATATACACTGACGAGATATCCGAAGAATTGTTTTACCCAAACTTATAGAGATTTGTATGGAGACGCCATGCTGGTGCTCACCTCGATGAGCTCCAACATGGCGGACGGAAACCAACAGAAACATCTGTTACCGAGTTTTGCTACAAAAGCGTGAATATATTCTTCAAGATTCTCATAAACATTAAAGTAGTACTTTTTCTAATACATGAACTGTTTAAATAGCAAAATTTCCTGAAATAAGTCATTTTTTTAACCTACATGACAGCTCTCTTGGTTGTCATGAAAATGCCGCGTCACCGGCAAAAGCTTAGAAATTCAAGCGTACTCTATCATAAAACCAAGAACCCTTTTGAAGCGAAAATTTGTATGAACATTAGTTTTCAGCTGCCCTAATGCATCGTGAAAGAAAAATTCCGGTAGGATCGATATTTTTTCAGTTTGAATTTTGTGACGTCATGTGAAAACCAACAATAGAAGTATGACATTACTTTTATGAAAAATTAAAGATTGGAATAAATTACTGATAAATCTGAGAAAGGTCCAAGCGTCAGAATTGTTAAAAAGGAATACGAGGAGCGTTAATTTGCTGATTAAAAGAATTTTATAATTCTAATTAAATAGACTTCGCACTGGTTATTCTGAAGCTACCTTGGTATTAGTAGTTTTTGCGAAGGGAGGGCGCAGCAAATAACGGCTTCCGGTGTTATCACCATGGAAAAGGTGCGCGTGCCTAAACTCTGCAAGTAAGTACGAAGGCGCTATTCCGTGAAGACAGTTATGGACTAAGACGCATTTGAGATAATTTCTGTGTGCTTGTAGGTTGGGCCAGCCAAATGTTGATTTTAACTCCTCAGCCCCGATAGATCGACCTTCAATAATACATGCGGCGCGTCTATTTAGTTTGTCTAGATAAGCTTTGTTCCCAACCCCACAGCTGTCCAGACAGGCGAACAATAATCAAACAATGGCAAGACTATAGTATTGGAGAGCATTTGACAAGTTGGCTTGGAAAGAACTTTACGTGCTCGACGCAGTTTACCTAATCTATGGTCCTTCCAAGATAAGGTGTTGTTTAGGACCCCAAGATATTTAAACTTGTTAACTCTTTCTTAACGGGTGTTACCGATTTCTAATACTCCTCTGATGAGTACCAACAAGCATAATCTTCATTTTTTCAAGATTATGTATTAGAAAATTAGCTTGAAGCCAGCTTAGGACGTAAGTTAGGCCACTAGTTAACTGAGCTTGAATTTCACTGACCGACTTGCTTGCAAAATAGACAAGTGTACCGTCAGCATAAAGCTCGACGCTACAACCTTGAACCGCCAGAGGTAAGTCATTTATGTAGACGATAAATAATAAAGGGCCAAGTACGCTACCCTGGGGGCCCCGAAAGATATAGGCTGGGGCTCAGACACGACCCCATTAGTGCAAACACTTTGGGTGCGCACAGCTAAGTAGGACCTAAACCATTGGACAGCAGAGCGATTCATTCCTGGCGAAGTTAACTTATCTATAACATGATGCTATGATCTAAGGTGTCAAAGGTCTTGCTTAGGTCTAAAAATATAAGTCCAGTTAATAGTCCTTTGTCAATGTTTTCCAGCAAACTGTTTGTCACGTGTGATGCACAGTCAATGCGCTTGTCATCCGTTTCACTCCAAGATACCAGGTTATTAGTTACGAAAAACAGTTCAGGGACGATTTCACTCAACTTCACTTGAAGTCGTTTATGCTTGAATTAGAGGATCCTAACGAACAAGTAATCGCGTTCAATACTCTTATTTCGGACTGTTTAGAGTGACATGTACCCTTAAAGGATGTGAGCGTGACAAGACCACCTGCGCTCTGGTTGAATGATCCGAACATTCGAATGCTGCAGGAGGCATGCAAGCGTTATCGTAGGGAAGCACACATACCCCCTCACAGTGAGGCTGCGTGGGACATCTTCAAAGACGCCCGTAACAGTCTTAAGAAACTGATTGGGAAAGCAAAGAGAAGGTTTATGACCAATGCACTCTCGTATAAGCGGCACAAGGAAGTATGGAAGACGATCCATCGCATACTTCACCCTAGCCAGCAAACAATAACTGTTTATTCGGATAATAAGCACTTTACTTCTGCAGCTGAGCGTGTCGATGCCTCAGTGGCAGTTGATAGGGAGGAGTTGCATAGGCGTATTAATGCGCTTGCGCAGGACCCTGATACTTCCTTTCGTCTGAAGAGTGTTACCTATCATGAAGTTATTGGGGAGAGCAAAGCGCTGCGGTCCGACTGCTCTAGTGGTCCGGATAACATTCCAACCAAATTCATCAAGCTAGTTTCAGACCATTTAGCATCGCCTTTAACGCATATCTTAAACACGTGCATTTCGAAACTGGACTTTCCAACTCTTTGGAAGGTTGCACGCATTAGTCCCATTCCGAAGGTGGGCGAACCCCAGGCAAATGACGATTTTCGCCCTGTTTTCATTTCGCCTGTGTTATCAAAGGTTTATGAAAGACTGTCTTGACGACAAATGGTGGATTTTCCCACGGAAACTGCGCGGCCTCAGCCAAATGTAAGTGCATACCGCAAAGGACACTCAACTACAACTACTTTGCTCGCAATAAGAGATGATATCCCCAAGGCAATGAACAGAGGTGAGGTCACCATTGCAATTATGGAAGACTTTTCTAAAGCTTTTGATACAGTTGTGTGAGAGACATTTCTGTGCAAATTGCGTAAGCTAGGGTTTTCCAAGTCCTCTCTACATTAGATTCTGAGTTATTTGACTGATCGAACGCAGTACGTCCAAATCGGTGATCTCTGGTCGGAGCGCATAAATGTGTCTTGGGGTATTCAACCTTTATGTCAACGACTTGACTGACGTACACCCAACCGAAGTAAATTGCCATCAATATGCGAAAGATATAACGATTTATAGTCACTCTAAACCATCTGAGCTTCTGTGGGTTGTCGGGCGGAGATGCAGGCTGTCTACCTGGTCATTCCGATGTAACCTGGCGCTCCATCCTAAGAAGACTAAAGTAATGCCGCTTCTTTCAACTCCCCACGTGTCACAAACTCATGGACTAGACGGACACTGCATCCATCTCTGCGCAAATGGAAAGAGTCTCAAGCGAGTTTTAATTTTCCGCCTACTTGGTGCGGAAGTGCAGGAAAACGTGAACTGGAAAAGAGAGAGAAACTCCAAGATCTCAAGTTGTTACGGAACCTTGTCTGTACTGAAGAAGCTGAAATACCTTGACCCGTATAATGAAAAAAAAAACAGAAAATACTTGGCAGAGTGTCTTATTTTGTCAAATTATAATGACATTGTCAGTGATACTATAGCAGATTATCTTGTTAAGAGACTTCATCGAGTATAGTTAGCGGCTGCTAAGCTGTCTACCTGGTCATCCCGATGTAACTATGTGACTAGACGGACACTCCATCAACCTCTGCGCAAATGGAAAGGGTTTCGAGCGAGTTTCAACGTTCCGCTTAGCGGCTACTAGTTTTGTTTTAGGACGCTTCGCAACCAAGCTTGGTTTGCTTTATTAATTACGTTCATACACTCCCGTAGCTCCCTCGAAAAACATACCCGATTCCACTGAGACCAAAATGGGCAAAGTGTATACCCAGTTTCAACCCAAAACGGCCCAAAAACCCTACGGCGTCCAGGATCGATCTTGTTAGCAAAAATTTACTAGCAAATTGTTTTCGCAATTGTCGCAAAAGAAATGATTGAGCAGAAAATTATCTGAAATAATCACTTACAAATATCGCAAAAATCGCAAGAATAACAAATGTAACAAAATTTAAGACTTAGAAAGAGACCAAGCCAAGAAGGGCCCCGAAAAGTCGGCAAATGCAAGAAAAATTGGTTTAAAAAATTTGTTTGGTTTTTTGTAGGCCCATGTGGGTTAGTTTTGTCTAATTCTAAAGTGGATAAGGTGACTCCGCTGTTTTTTATTAAAACAATCAATAAGGGCTGCAGAGTTCCTAGCTAGGAAATGCGGTGCTCTTCCGATTAAATTGTATTTATTCGAGAGAGCGCTTTTTGATTTTTCGACTTTATTAGAGGGCGGGGCTCTTTCAAGAAACTTCGGTTTTCAGTTCATATGAGGGCCTTATTTCACGTGTGGTTCATCTGCATTACATTTGGAAACTTTTACGTTTGTGGTCAATTATCACATTTCTGGCTTTAACGGCCTAACTAACCTTTTTACTGCTTTCGAGCGGGTACATATAATTCTTTTTTAGGCGGCACCACCCGACTATTACCTACCTATTACCTATTGTTTTATTATACAATTTATACATGCTACGTAATGGTAACAGGACTGAGTGGAGTCCAATTCGGTCTGTAATCATACGAGTGATTAACAAAATCGGACGACCGCGTAGCGGGAGTCCGATTTGTTTAATCACGAGTATGATTACAGACCGAATTGGACGACACAAAGTTCTGTTACCAATTAATCATAACTTTAACAAAATTTGTGATATAATAGGCTATTTTTTAAATCAAAACACAAGAAATTCGAAATTTTGTTTTGCTAGCAGTGAAAAAAAAAAGCCATTTAAGCGCGCGCGTGATGGCGCGTACTGTCCAATTACTTAGGCATGACGCGTACTGTCCTATTTAACTGTCCAATTAATAATGGTAATTGAACTAAGTGGAGTGCAATTTGGTCTGAAATCATACGCGTGATTTCAAAATTGAACGAGCGCGCAGCGCGAGTTTGATTTGAAATCACAAGTATGATTTCAGACCAAAATTGCACGACACGAAGTTCAATTACCACTTTATTACATCCACTTTGAAATCGCAGAATTTAGTCAGTACTAATATTTTATTGATCGAGTAGCCGGTTTGTTAAAAAGCCGAAACAAAAAGGCTTTTACATCTCATTTTGTATTCGAAACAGAAATGATGCAATATATAGAACAAAAATGGTGCAATTTAAAACAGAAATGATGCGATTGAGAACATGAATGACGCGATTTGGAACAGATGCGATTTAGCGCAAAAAATGGTGCGATTTAGGAATAAATCACACTGCTGAGAGCCAATCAGATTACACGGATAGCCAGTGATTTCAAAGTGGATGTAATAAATATTTTAATTGTATATACATTATTATTGTTATTTCTTATTTGAAAATAATTTTTATTTTTGTGTCCCCAATTAGTTGTGAAAACTAAATACATTGACACATTAATAAAGCTTTTACTTACTTACTTACTTACTTACTCAAATAACCCTCGCTACATTCGGCTGGTGCTACTTTTGTAACCGTGCGTTTGCCGAGGTATATCAATTGTTCATTAAGTTTTTTTGTTGTTGTAAGGTCGACATTGCTCCATACCAAATGTTAGTTTTGTCCAGGACGTACGAAAGATTGTCATATTCTTTGTTTATATTTATTCTTTTTATGTCTCTAAATCCAATCGTTTTTTGCATCTGATTGAATATGAGGACGGTCACTTACTAAAACATGCAGAGAAAACAAATCTTGCTTGATTTCATGCAGTGCCTCAAAAATGTCATTATCTAAATATCTATTTACTAGGAAGCGTGAAAACAAAGCCTACTTACTGAATGTGGAGTCCAAACAAATTCCTGTGTACTGTCAGATGGAAGCTGCTGAGCTTGGAGCATGCGGAGGAGGTGGATGGACGCTGGTCATGAAGATCGATGGCAAACAGGTAGCAGCAGCGGTGCAACAATTTTAGTATTCATTGATAATATATTGCCCGCGTTCATGATTGGATCCAATTCCTCGACTAATTCTTCATAACCAACCTCCGCTTATATTACCATATTTGGAAGATGTAGGAAATATACATGATCGATTCTATGGTATATTTAACAATTAATGAATGCGGCTGAGTATCTTATGAAGAATTATGGAGATCGAGGAGGATGTTATCCGTCGAGGCCGTAGGCCGAGGCGGATAACACCCTCCGAGATCTCCATAATTCTTCATAAGATACGAAAGCCGAATTCAATAATTGTTTTATTATTCATTCAAAATAATTCCTAGTTTAAAAACAAAGCTAAAACATGCTTACCTCCATCGATCCAACGATGTTAAGTTCACCTTCTATAGTGCACGTTTAGGGTTTTCCGGTTCCGCAAATGTTCTCCAAATAGCCTGCGAGATCTCCATAATTCTTCATATGATACGAAAGCCGAATTCAATTATTGTTTTATTATTCATTCAAAATATATCCTAGTTTAAAAACATGGCTAAAACATGCTTACCTCCGTCGATCCAACGATGTTAAGTTCATCTTCGATAGTGCACGTTTAGGTTTGTCCAGCTCCGCAAATGTTCTCCAAATAGCAGACGTCGCCCTTCGAGTTGTCTTCTTGCTGTTCTTGCCATGTTTTTAGCTATTTTTTCGCCTAGTTCTTACTCTTGAAACGAGTGAAATGTCCACCATTTTTCAAGTTCACAACCAAAACAAATAAACCTCGTCCCCAGGTCTTCTCGGTTAACGGTGCATTAGCCTGCAAGAACGCTGCATTTTTGACGTCAGTTCCTCGCTAAACAGAAAATTCTTCCAAATTTGGTCATCAGTAACTGGTTATGGTGAATTAAAAATGTGCTTTTAGCCAATCAGAATCGGGGAAATATTTTGAATGAATAATAATGCCCATTATTAAAAACTGGCTCATTGGATAATGCAATTCTAGTGCTCTGATTGGCTTAGCCATCATGGTATATGAGCCATTATACCATGCTCTCCAAATATGGTAAATGTACGCGTCTGCTCAAAATTAAAAACAAACTGAAAATCGGTTGTTTTTACAAATAAAGTCGGGAGGAATTCTCGATACTGTTTTTGGGCGTTTTTGATAAAACAATTATTCTACTCGCCCTTGTTGGATATGAGATGATTGTAGCCATCTAGGCGCTACGCGCCTCTTTGGCTAATCTACCATTTCATATCCAACGCGCACTCGTGGAATAATTGTTAAATGACTCATCGATCAACCTCGAGCAGTTTCCTTTAAACTACTTTTTTGCTAAAATTGCGACCGAGAATTGCTAGCAAATCAGTTTTGCGACAGATTGCAATCCTGGACATAAGTGAACAACGGAGCTAGTTTTAGAAAAGTAACTAAACAGCTGTTAAACAATTAGCTGAAAGGAACGGAACATACCGTCAGCTTTTGGCTGGGGGAACAGGTATTGAAATATCAAATATGGAAATTGCCAATCCATACTTGACCGCACGGTATGGGAGTCTGTTGTGTAAACCATTCCGGCTCATGTTTAAAATTTGAAATTAGGTAAATTTTAAGCTTTGGTATGAATGGGGCGGGAGTGATATCAATCCAGTGCAATCCTTGGGGCAAGTTTTTTTAATAGCGCACGAACAAAACGTTTATTTTCTGAAAGGTTGATGGTTTAAGATCAATTGTTAGTTTTATAATGAAGTAGCTGAATTTTTGTACAAAAATTGATTTTATTTAATTTCTACCCTTTTTGGCATATTTTCTACCATACTAATGTTGCGCAAAAGTAGGTGATCCGAGATAGCCCATGAGGACAATCTTGTGTGCCGCTCGCAGAAATATTACCGCGAAGCTTTCTTACAAGAATAGGGCTTTACTGACAAACCATGAGGCTAATCTGGCTCGATTTTGGCTGAGTTCCTTTTTATTTGCGTTTTTATGAATCGAGACCGAGTTGAGGTCCATAAAAACGCGAAAAAGAACCAGCCCAGTATCCAGTCATCTTGACCGAAGATTTGGTAAATCAAGGATTTATTACATGGCCAAAAGGAAATTGTTTTTCGCACAGACCACAGGATTCGTTTCATCTTGACGGGTCGTAAAACGGCTAGTCATATCAGTGATGTAGCCTCTTCACACCGGCTCACTAGTACACCGAGATGGCGGCCATTGACCATCATCTCAGCGAAATGTTTAGAGGAATCTCGCCATGTCACGTCATTTACCTGGCTGGGGTATTTATTACATTATTTTAATTCTTACCAGGCGTTTGATTGTATTCGCCTAGATATTCTCAAAACTACTTGGGGAGGGTGAGGAGGTTGGATGTAGTTGACCCCCAGGGCCCAGAAGGCCAAATTGGATAGTCTTACAAACTTTTGGAGCAGAATGTGACTGCTGTGATGTCATGTGAAAACAGTTTGTTAATTGACGATATATCATTCTTTATCTGTTTAGAATACCTTTCATTACATTTCAAAATTGTGGACCAACAGGAAGGACCATAATCCCTCTGCGGGAAAGACCCCGCTTGATCATCAAGAAACAAAATTACCCACCTACTGGAGCACACCATTCACTAAGATCTGCCTCGCTATGAAGATCGGCCATCAAGTTAATTCGATCGTCATCAACAAACAAGCCAACTCCTTACACTCCCTGATCTCTGACAGATACTACCGTTCGACGTCACTGGGTCGTCACACCTGGAAGAAGCTGATTGGCCAACAGGCATCGCTGCAGAGAAATTGTAACCGGGAAGGGTTCAATTCTGGTTGGTGGCTCCGGTCGCACAGCAAAGCAAGAATAGGTATTGTAAGTAACGAACAAAACGACTGTAATTCCCCTGACTCAAGAATTGGGTTTGGTACTGGTGGTCTTTATTATACTGACAACACCTGTGGAAACGTGGCCTTCCATCAACCAGACAATGGTTACAGAAACATTAAAGCGATGTGCTACATCCTGGTGCAATGAGTATACAAATGCAACGTAAAAAATATTGTTTCACTTCATAGTCAATGATCAGTGTCCTTTACATTTCTAAGTAGAAATTGTAGGTTAAGTGAAGGCTTAATTCTTGCGTGAACAAATATTTGTGGAAATTAAATTGAATAAACGCATTGCTCAAAACAAGACCTTTTGTTTTGTTTTCCTCTTACTCAATCATTCATTTATATTTTTTCCAAGATACGTCTCTCTCCAGGGAACAGTCCTGGAATTTTTTGTCAATAGCCCTTTGATGCATCCCCACAACCCCCTTTCCCGGCTACAAGCGCCAAAAATTACACACGCACTCCATGACACAAACCCGACACTTTCTGGCACAACACAGCTGGAAAAAACGCAGTTAATCAAAACAGCGCCACCCGAATTCTCCTTGGCATATTTTAAATCAAAAAGCAATAAGCGCCGCGGCGTATTTAATCGAAAGGGCGCCGACCTGAAGTAAGAGTCGCACAGGAGAAGAAGAAAAATAAATAAACGCCTCGGCACTCTTTCGAATGAACATATTTTTCTCCCGCATCCAACCCATTCAAGCGAGAGGTCCGCATTCCCCAGCAATATAGCAGCGCTTATTAATTTTTGCTAATCAGACTTTTAATATGTTGATTACCATTGCTGATGTAAGCTTCTCAAACTCATTAATAATTCATAAAGAAAATACAAAGAAAATTAATGTTTAATGAGTGTTTGGAAATCGGATGAAAAACTGCTCAGTATTTGCATCCTTAATTTCTCCTTCAAAAATGATTTTGTTTGAGAAGAAATATCAAACATTCGACACAGTGTTTCATCACCAGATGAAACACCTCGAAGTTCGTCAAAAATACTCCGCTGCGCGTCGTATTTTTCAACTCTCTTCTCGGTGTTTCATCTGGTGATGAAACACTGCGTCTCCTGTTTGATATATTACTTGAAGCATATTGATATAAGTTTAAATCCCGTCTTTAAAAGAAATGAAAGTTCAAAACAAAACAAGGTTTGAACTTTCATTTCTTCTTAGCAGTATGGTATTTAAATAAGTGTGATGAAAGTGATGATAAAGTATCTCAATAAACAACTTTAAATTTTATTTATCGTAGAGTACGTACGTGATACTTCCATTAACTGAGTCTGCAAGGCTGCGTATTAAACTTCAGTCAGTAAAATTCGCTCAAACCAAATTGTAAAAATAAATCGGAAATTTCGAAAGAGCGCCGCGGTGCTTATTGATTTTCGTACTTGAAGATGCCAAGGTGATTTGAGGGCGTGCTTTTTCATTTTAAATGTAATGCAACAACAACATAAGCTTTATTTGCATTACTATATATTTACAGTATTGCAAAAGCTTTAAGATAAAGTTACAATTTACACTAATGATAATACAATGTAATAATGATTAAAATGGCCAATCAAGTGTCATCAGTATGATTTGATAACAAATTATTAAATACTTAAATCATTACATAATGAAATGCATTTTAACAAATGTGAATTTACAGAAAAATTCTATGATTTCATCAATGTAATTATTAATTCTGTGCAAGATAGGTGAATAAAATCAACAAATTATGTTGGATTTGATTGTAGAATTTTTCCCTTGGGGTTGAATACTTTGGACAATGCAAGAGAAAATGAAATTCGTCTTCAATTATACCATAGTTACAAACAGGGCAAAATCTATCGTTGTGGGGAGTTTGATTATATCTTCCAGTTTCAATCATGAGTTTGTTGTTATTTGTACGAATTTTCACTGAGTCTTTCCTTTTGGTTGAATTTCTGGTTAAGTCTAGATAACTTGAAATTTTATAATCATGTTTAAATATGCTGTAAAATTGTAGTTTATCCTCGTTTTTACGCAGAAGATACAATATGAAATAAGGAATGTTTTTGTAGATATTAATAATTAATGGCAATCGTCCTAATTTACTTCTACTTGCAACATTTGAAGATTTATTGCTTATTTCTCTCTGAGACACGGGATCGCCCGTCCATTGACTCGACGGCTGTGCTATGTTGATGAGCCCCAGTAAGGGCGAAACAGCTGTCCATGGCTGCCACTGCCCGGGTGATATGGTTGTGTGCATACGTTAGGTACTGGCCTGACCGCGGGCTTGACACGTGTGCCTCAGTCTTGAAATTGGTATTGAAATCGATTTTGGTTCGAGGTAGCGCGAGATTCGAGTTAGCGAGGGTTCGAGTTATCGGGAGTCGACTGTATCAGCGGGAGAGTAAAATAATAAAGCTTTCTGGGGGTGTATAATTTTTGAGAATACTCGCGAGAAAAACTTCAAGATAAATTTCGTCCTCGTCCTCAAATCTAAAGCTCTCTAACAACATTATTCATGACTCACCATGCATACGACATCTAATGCACTGACCAACATCAACTCTTGTTTCGTACTTAGTTCCTCTGAAGTGCACATGTTCAGCGGACACACACCTGCTGCCTCTTTCACGTGGCCCGCACGTGCAATTCATAGCGCTAATGATATCTTGCAGACCACTCAAATTCCTGATTGTTGTCACCTCTGAAGGAGAAGCGATGCAGAGGTTTATGTCTAGGCAGACCTGTTTTAGGGAAAAAGTGATGGGTGGGACAAGGTGAGTTTTTTTTTTTTCATCATAACAACAACAACAGCTTCATTTGTACCGAACTTATTTTTTACAACTGATTACCAGGGCTGGCCCCTGTAAGTTATACTAACAATTATAATGATGATGATTAAGGATAATAAGAAGAACAAGAAGAAGAACAAGAGTACGAGTTGTCCGAAATAAACGAAAAACGTGTCTAGAATAATAGGGTAGCAGTACCGATGAGTTAAGCAAACAGTAATAAATAGAGTCTGAGATTTAGCATCGGCTGACTCGTCCATCATTTGCATGTTCGCTGACCCTTGGCGCTGAAGGAGCCGCAGTGTCACCTGGGATTGGAGAGGTCCGTCTCTCTCTCTGGATTTGTAGGCCACGAGCAAGTTATCGGTAGCAATGAAGGGGGAAGGGTTTCATTTCTAAACTTTCCTTTCTTCCATTCCTTCTCCTCATCCCATCCTTACATTTGAGAGACTTCGCTTGCAGATGGATCCCTCAAAACCATGGAATTAGAAAAGGCTCGGATGGAGAAATCCCATTGAGGCTGCCGGAGTTGCCAAACGACTACTTAAGACTACGGGACCGTAGCAATAGGCAGACTGCAAAGCATTCGCGTTTTTACTTGGATCGCCGCTCACAAAGCGCGAATAGCTCAATGCGTGGCGGATTCTCGCGCGTTAAGCGCGCGATTTTATCACGCGTGTCACGCATGTGCGTGACTTTCTCCACCATTCGTGGGAAACTCAAACTAATTCTAACACGATTGCTTCACACACTAACTCTATAATTTTCCCCAGAATCGAAGCCTGTGAGAAGCTTCTATTTCTTTTGTCTAGAATTAGCTTTAAGCTAAGCTGGATGTACAACGTCTATTACCCGGCCTGTTCCTTTTTCCATTTTAAATCTCGTTTCGCTTCCACGAGGCTCGTTCTGCAGGTTGTCACCTGGAATTTCTGACCACTTCCTGCAAAGAATAACATAATAAGGATAATAATTTATGCATGGTGTTTGAAGCATTTATTAACATGGACCACAAAGCTAGTAGCTTAGAATAGTACAACGATTTGAAGGCACGTTCGTCTTGAAAAGAACATTTTGTCGCGTTCATACTTATTCAGGATCTTACGTACAGTAGTTTGTTAATGTCAAGTGGCCCTTAAAAGCTTAAACATGTTTTTATTAACGACTTAACTGCAATCAACTTAAAACTGATATTGATGTTTGTTATTGTTTTCTCCAACACAGTCTCCTTCCCCTCGTACAGTTAATAACTACTCAACGCTTGAAGTTTTCCCAGTTTAGTTAAGACTCGATAAAAATGTTCATTCCTGCTCTTTCAAGTCAACTGTCTTTTCTTTCAGCTCTTTTTTTTTTATCAAATGATTTAACTCAGACTGTTACCACATTTGTCACAAATGTAAAATTTACGGTGACACTTAAATTGTTTGAGATTTAATTTGTAGCGGAGTATAGTTATGATTGAAATACTTTTTATTCTTCCTGCGACCTTGGCTTTACAATCCAGGGATACGTGAACAAAAAACAAATTTGTCAATCAAAACTAAAAACACTTTCTTTTATGTAACCTCAAAGGAAATATGTGCTTAATATCAAGTGTTTTGATGCCTAAAGTCCTAGCGCTGAAGCATTTTTCAGTTTTCCAAGAATTAAAATGATATTGTCTTAAGTAATTCACTTCGTAATATCCGGGCATCTCTTGACGCTGTCACCCTATTTTGCAATCAATTCAAAGGTGACAGACCATAAACGATTATTTCCTGTATAACTGGAGTTAGACCTCCAGACTAGACTATCGTCTTGTATGAAGCAGCTCCCAAACAAGCAATTTATGTGCCTCCTTGATCATTTAAGTGGAACAGGTAGAGGCTGAGTTGTGTCAAATGTAAACAAGATGGCTTGATCATGCGTAATCACAGCCATCCAACTAATTATCTCTAGCCCTTCTTCGATCGAGTAGCATTTTTAGTCCCCGGAATAACCAGGCACCTCATCGGCGTTATTATGTGCGACAAGTAACTTGTCCGCTCGTTCACAACAACAAGAAAACAATCTGAAAGTCCAAAGGCACTATGTTCGGTCCCAGTTACCAACGTAAGAGTGGCCTACCTGTGTACACTTTTTCTGTGGTTACCCTGTGGCACACCCTTCTCACCATCTTTTCTCTGCTGGAGCCAGAGGCCCACGGCACTGTCGGGCAGTGACTTGGGTCGGCTACCTAGATACAGGAGAATAGCTAAGTCTCTAAACTTTTCAAGGAAACTGAAAATACCATGCTGCCACAACACCCTCATAATGCTGGCTTGTTTTGCTGTGTGGTGGGTGACGGGAGAGGTTAGCGGGGGGGACGGGAGAGACTCAAATCAATTACAAAGTGAATA